GTAAAGGTCACTTAACCTGCTTGTGACACAAAGTCATGCTCATCTAATCAGTGAAGCACACCTCCTGAGGAAACTGAAGAATTTGTGTCGCGGAGCTGCAGCTTCCCTGAGTTATAAATACTCAGCCTGGCGGATATGTTGTGGGTCTGATCGGCTGCTCGGCCTGCTCTGAGGGAACAGCTTGGAGCTGAACCCTGCATGAAGCCTCTGTATTGTCTCGAGCTTCCTGTGCTCCCTGAGAGGAGGGGGGAGCCACGTTTCACACGCTCCCACACATACACTGTATATTCGCCTGTGTTCGTCTGTGTGTGTGTGTGTGCACGCCATGTTCGTGGCCCAACAATGTGGTTTTCAAACTGTTAACGCTCTCTTGTTCCAAACTGCTGTAGACTGACATGGGAGTCATTCTCCTCATTTTGCATCATTCAACTTTATAAAGATGAATGCATCTGAGCTTGGCTGAACTTTGGATTTATTTACAGCAATGTAGCAGGAGTCAAGAGTTATTTCTCTTGACAGCAGCTGGCTCGTACTTGTCTTCATCATTTCACACAAAACATCACTGTGATTTATCACTCAAGGAAAGTTGTGCATGGTCACCCCCTGTCTCCCGGGAATGCCAGGATTTATCTGCGAGGCAGAGAGCGTTCACTGTCCTGTCAGGGTCGGCCATGAGGGGCTTGAACTGTACCATACAAAAGTGTTTCAGGAAGAACCAGCTGCTACATTTTCAGTAGCAAACAAAACATTTTTTAAATCAAAACTTTTTCCAGGACAGATTGTAGTTGATGTCAACTGAGTTTAGATATTTTTGATTGAATCAGAATTGGGCTAAACCCAGTCTGGAGCTAATCTTTTTTATCAGTTTTCCTTGATAAACTAAATATGTTACAGAAAAGGTCCATTGAGAGTGGGTTTTTGTTTAGAACTGTATTCTGAAAATCACATGCAACTCAAACCTTTAAGTTTCAATGAAAGACTAAGAGGTAAAGTCCATTCATGTTAAACAGGACAGCACAGCTTTCAGTCTTGGTCATTTTAGTTATTTTAAGTTGGCAGAATTATTGTATTGTCGTGAATTGGAAGATAAAAAGAGGGAAATATGGTTAAAAAACAAAATTTTAAAAATCTAAAATCTCTGTGTGCCTGGGTTGTTAACTGTTAAAATATCAGGGCTATGTAATTTTATTGATCTTTTATGGGTATTTTATATTTTTTACATGATACATTTTCATTTGGCCAGTTGGGTGAATGAAATTACTTAGAATGATCAAACAGAAACTAAACACATCATATAACACACAAATCTGCATTACTCATTGGTGGTTGAACATGGGTTAGTGATCTCAGTACTCTTTTTTTTTTGTGGTTTCTGATAGATCGTGAACTCTTGTAAGTTTATGCTAGTTGAACTGGAATTAACTTTTCAGGTTTAAATCATTTTCAAAGTTTTACTAATCAGCTGCTGGGGCAAAACATTTTTTTTTTCAATCCTCCGCCCTGTCATGTGCTGGAGTGCCTCAATATCTTCAGGGTAAAATGGCTGAATTCCTCAATACAACATGGAAATACAGGAGAAGTGGTTCATAATCAGTTCAGTTGTTGATTCAGACCTCAACAGTTCACGATCTCTAATCTGATAAAGTGATTACACTGTTGCTTGATCAACAAATCACTGTACAGTTTAGATACGACTAAACCTGGATTGGATTGACTGCATAAGCTACACATGACTAGCTTTTCATGTTCAAATCTTTTTGTAAGACTGCAGGAAATTGTTTTGAAAAACCCTAAACTGTAAGGGAGTGAGGTGTATTTATTTTTTTCTAATTGGACGTACAGTATCCAAATTATTGAAAGCTCTTCTTAATTGAAGAAAGAAAAGGGTTAGCTAATAAGAAGAGCATGATATGCAGCGTCAGGTCCTCCTCCGGATACAGATTTATAATGAGGTGCATCATGTCATTGCTTATCAGTCAGCTATGATTGAAATCATCTGTCCAATAAGAAATGAATACTCCTTTAGCTTGTTTGTATGTGTTTGCAGCAGTTCACCACATTTTCTCCTTCCGCCCCCTCCTTGTTTTTTTCCACTGAAATACCCTCAGGGTTATAGAGTGATCACAGCCCTGCAAATGGCCCATTGATAACCTGGGTCAAACTGAAAGGATCTCCTGTCATTTAGTCACAAATGCATTCTCAGTGTACATGGCATGTGTAGAGATTGTGCCAAAGCAATTTGGAAGAACCCAGGGTGTTTAGAGGAAGTGGAGGAGCTCAACTGTGGTCAGATACACAGAAAGTCCCTCATTACATTATTGTAACTTTTTATTAGTTTAACTTGCATACACAAAAGCATATTACTAACTTATCATAGAGTCGGAGCGTGTGTCAATAGGACACTGTTGTAACAAATAATCTACAGTGAGCTCAGTCATTGTACTGAGGATATGAAGTGGACTGAACCACTTGAGCCGATGTTGGAATGTTTCCAGGGATTGTGGGTTTGGAGAGCTTTCTGCATTGAGGTTACGGTCACTCTGGTCTTCCTCCTCACTTGCATATGGAGGTAAAACTAAGCCGCATTGTGGCAGCCCATAGTGATTATGTACATTTGTCCCATTGTATGTTTGATGTAGCTTGGCAGACTAAGTATATTAGTGTGGACTCGTGGATTTTGGTCATTTTACTTGTAAAAGCAGGCCCTGTTCATGAATTACCACTGAGCAGGATTCCCCCCGAAAACTGTTTGGCACAAAGCAAAAAGCTGGACAAAAGTTGTCTTTTTCTCTCATTACCAGTTATTGAGACCTTGTGGACCGCCATCCCATAAAGACAATCCACCCTTAAGTTCTGATTGTTTGTTATCGTTGGAGTAAGTTTAGTCCAGTAATTGATTAGTTGCAGCTTCCTTACAGTGAGGATGAGCTACTCCTCTCAGTTGTAAGTGTAGATAAACAGAACATCCTCTGTTATATGCAGTGACATTGAAGCACTGATAACAACAACAAAATGCAGCATTCAATCAGAGGAACCAAGAAAATGACAATGTTCCTACAAGCAATGCAGCACAGCCTTTGGAAACATTTTTAGGAGAAAGAACACGGTGTAACAAATACAATATTTACAGAAACACGACACTGCAGAACCATAAACTCACATATGATCTGGACTCTGTCGGGTGCCTTGGGGCTTCTCTGTGAGCTTGTGCTTTCTGTTTTGTTGCTGTTTGACAAGCCCATCGGTTTTGCAGTTTGGTGACGTTTTGTGAAAACTGTAATGTAAATCTTTATAATTTACTTTGCCTTTATTAGGTTATTCATGAAGAAATTAATCATTAAGAATGAACTTTTATAAAAATAAATTTAAAAAAGATAAGACAAAAGATGTCCAAAAGGGAAACTTGTCTTGGGATAAAAAATCAAAACAAAAAAACAATTCAATACACATTAATAAGGACATCAGGATACAAAGCCAGTAGCGTATACCCGGGGCATGCACACATATAGGCTGTAATGTAAGGACTGTCTAAGCATCTGCACTGTTGGAGACACCAGAGCTTTACTGTTGAATTTTTCATCATTTTCATTCCTTTTGTCCCATTCTGCCTCACTGTGTGGGTCTGCTTTACCTTCAGTGCGGCTCATACTTTCCCTGCCTTGTTTTTTTCTTCTCATCTCGTCTTTCCACTGCTTTGTGGTGCACATGTGCTTAAATGCTGATTTTCTCTTTTCGCCTTTTCACACGGCCTTCTGCTTTCCCCAGTTCCATGCCTCTCTACATCCCCCACCCGCCAGTCGTACACATAGCGTATTCAAGTCTAAAGACTTACCCTGTGTAGTGCAAGATGTTGGTCCCCTCTCCCATTTTATCTCCCTCCCACCCCCCACCCTTCCCGAATGTTTGGATAGATCTAAATGGTGTGATTGTGGCTGCTCAGCCGGTCGTCTGCCCCTCCACGTCTGCCTCTCAGCGTCTTTGGAAAGTCTGACGTGAGCAGAGGGAGAGGAAGAAGGGAAAAGGCAGAAAGAGAGAAAAAGGGGAATGTTCTTTTGAACAACAAGGCATGGCTGTCCTCCAAAGAGTCAAGTCTAACGTTTGGAGTCTAACGTCTTCATCCTGCTCCTCATTTCACTACCTCAGTCTTTTTTCCTTTCAGTGTCCCACACTCTATTTTTATGTACCTATACCCTGTCAAACATCCCATCTTCCGACCGTCCGACTACAGTTTCTCAGTCTCTTTTTCTTCCTTTCTCTGCTGGTCTAGTGGTGGTTGTGTTGGGGGCGCGGTGGTGCACAGGAGAGACAAAACCTCCAAATCTAGGACTCTCATTTATCCAGGGAGGTGTCGCGTTGCGTTTCAGGCGCTTCGCGGTGGTGTCGCATGTCATGGCATTCAAAGAGCCCGGGTTTAAGAATGTGGGTCATTTGAAGTAGAGGCACTAAAGTGTGTTGTTTGCCAGTGAATGGGGCCTTCTCACATTGACATGGTGAAAAGCGTGTGAATAAACACCAGCGCCTGAGGGCCACACTAAAGTGTTCAGTCGTATTCTTCCCTGTACCCCACCTATACAAGCCTGTTATTATCTAACGCATGAATGGAGTTCTGGATTCACATTTGATAGGGGCACCCGGCCTCTGTTAACTAAGATACCTTATCAAACTGTTACCCCTCAAGTAGCGGAAGCTTACTCATTTTTTTTCTTATTTAACCTCTTATTGAGGAAGACCAGATCATGGAGTAATTAAGTTTGGTTGCATGTTAAGCTGCGTGTTGCAGTGCGTGCAGGACGAGGAGCTACACACCATGGCTCTCTTAATTGCTTTCCCACAGCAGATGTTCAGATCAGATGGTTCACATTAAGTCATAGATTGCTCCCACAAGGTTTCTTATGAACATAGGCTCTCCTCTTTACTGTCTTTCATCTGATGAATTTGAGTGGTAGAGTGTGTAACATGTAGAAACACAAAAATAAACTCAAACTAACATCTTTTTCTACTTGTTTGTTTTCTTGGCCTGGATGATGCAGTTGTCGGCAGTGTTCATCGGGCTCGTATGTCATGCAGCAGAACCCCCAGCATCTCAGTGGTCCAGCGATGAACACAGAAACCTCACCCTGCGACAACACAGGACATGTGTCGAGAATGAGCAGTACCTCCACCAGGGCCTCTGCTGCCTCAACTGCCAGGCCGGTAAGGAGGAACACACGCCTGTCGGACATGAAAACGATTCATGTCCGACATTACAACTAAAGTTTAGTGCCAGCTGGAGCCATCAATAGAAACTGTTGGAAAACGTACCTAGTTTAATTGGGAAAAAAACTACACTTTTTAAATAAAAGGACTTACTGGGTGTCTAACCATTACAGGAGACATTTGGCTCTTTCCTCAAATGTAACTTTTCATGAGGTGGTGCTACCTCTCATTTGCATATTTGAGCTTAAAGTGTGCACAGCGTCTCTGTCCAAGATACTTAAAAATCACTTAAGAGGAAGGCTACGATAGCTTATCGACTAAACAGTATATGTGTAAATAAACAAATACACACAACACCTTTTTTTAAGCTGCTGATAAAGAGATATTAATTGTGATTTAGCTTGTCGGTTCACATCACCCCGATGTTTTCCTGTTAAGGCCGCTGTCAGCATCTGTTGGGGTGTTTTTCAATGAAGACTGAAAAAATAGTTATTTTACCAACAAACAAATATTTGAACATATTTGTTATCATAGTTGTAACTATTTTTTTTTCTGTTAATGGTTTCAAAAGCTTTAAATTGAAATTCTTTAGTTCCTGCAGATACTTGGAAACGTTTTGAGATTAAAAACCAAAATGATGAAAAACATATTATTGACTGCATTCAAAGAATGAAGCTTTTTTGATGAATTGAGTTCAGAATGTAATAAGGGACTGTTGACGTTTTTCTTTTCTGTTTTTGAAGCTTAGAGTATATTTAGCCAAGATGTAATTACGGCATTTTGCTGATAGTTATTGAGTTATTTCATTAGCAACTCTGAATTCTAAGAAGTGGCTTTTTATATTTCATCAAGTCAGTTTTTGGTTGTTTTTTGTGGCAAGAACAACAGTATCTTCTGTGCACACAATAGTCTTGGTAAACTGCAATTGATGCCAGCTAAAGTCATTTCATTATCTCCACTTGAATACGTTGGAAGTATTTAAAGCCTTTAGGATACTGTAATTGGGTTTATTTGAGTCTGACAGCCTCATAAGTGAATAAAAGCTGAACGACACTGCCGACCTGCCCATTTCCTGTGAAATGGACTGTTTTGGAGAGTGAGTTGTGTAATAATTGTTTATAACATGACTTTGTTTCCTTAAATATCTTCATTTGTCTCTACCCTTATGGTCATCCTACTTATATGATTAAGTTTATGTTTATTTTTTCCAGCCGTAACATTTAATCCACCAGATCTTTCTGTTAAGTTATTTTACAGATTCATTATTAAGAACTTCAACAAGCTCCAGCGTCTCTTAAACAACCACAAACACTGTGGTGAAGGCATCTTTGCTTTACCCAGAATTTTTCTCATCTTTTTTCATTTGCAGATCAGATAAATGCTGAAAACACATGAGAATCAAGTGGTTTTATTCATGGCATGCATGAACAGATCATAGAAATGATAAGCTTGACAACAAAGTAGGTCAAGCAACTGCAACTTCAATGAATCTGTTCTTCTCCTTGTCCCTGTGCAAAAGTGCATTTCCTAGAAAATTGTCATAAATAACAGTGAGATGTCCCCAACCCTCTCTGGCTGCCTATATACGTTTGTCATTTAAGTTGTGCTCTGATTTTTCTTTTATTGCATTTGCAGGAACATTCGTAAAGAAGGAATGCGAGAGAGACCAGGAACAAGGAACGTGTCTGTCCTGCGAGTATGGGCAGACCTACACGGCGCACTCCAATGGGATGAAACGCTGTTTGCCATGTACCCACTGTCGCCAAGGTAACGACATTTTCCGGACTGGTGTGTGTGATCATATTATGGAAAACAGTGATTTAACTTGGTTGCTGGTATTGTTGAAAGTGACAGACAAAGATTTTACTAAGCACCTTTTTTTCCATGTTAAACCTTTTAAAAAAACACTGCAGCGCAGAATTATTTTATGTGTCAATTTATCATCATCTGCTGATGATCTCCTGATTTCCAAAGCAGGTCAACATCTACAAAAAGTCCACTCAGGACCGGAAAATACTCAATTAGTTGTTGAAAACAAAGATAGACTAAAATTATTTACAATTTACAAACGCTAGACTGCGAAAATTGCCATTTATTTAGTTGTTTAGATGGTTCTGAAGGGATCACCTTACTATAAACCTGTCTGCTGGAACAACCACAGAAGAAGAGTTGCATTAAGTTTAACCAGGAAAGCATTCAAGTACACACCTGAACAATAAATCCTATCTTTAAAAAAAAAATAATAATAAACCCAACAGCTAACTAAAGCACTCTTTAACTCAATCCTTTATCATTTAAAAATCTGATAACCGCTGATTTTGTCAAAGATATATTGTTTTAGGAAAGTTAATACCTCTTTGTGTGTGCCCCCGCCTTTCACATCCACTCATGAAAATGTGATCTTATGATGTTACACGGAGTAGCAGGGCGTGTCTTTGTTGTTTTTGTTCCGTGGGCTGAATGTGAGCGTGTTTCTTGTCTCAGGAGATTTGCTTGTGTGTCTGTCTTACCTGGCTGAACTGGGTGTGGCTGTGTGGCATTGTCCTCCCACACTGGGAGTCTTTGTGTCCGCTGAAAGGCATGGGCTACAGAAAAGAGACTAATGTTACATAGGATGTGTTTTATTCCCATTTATCGCAGCTTTGGATGTTTTTGTCTCTTTCTAGTTTAAATTCACTTACTCCCATATGTTAATTTGAAAGAACAGTTTAAAGAAAGTTTAAAAGAGCTTTTAGAGCCTCATACTTCAAAGAAGAGCTCTGGTATCTGGACCACAGAGAAATCTTCTTGTTGGGAGCTCATATTAAATGGGCTGCTATTGGTTTATCTAATCCTTAATGGTATCAGATGGAGAAGCTTTAATAGAGGTCTCAGATTTATTTTTATTTTTTTCATTTTTGGATGTTGCCGATGGAAGTTTTTTACCCATCAACCTATAATTGATTTAAAGCAGGATTTGGACAGGATGAATAAATGCAGTGAGACAGAATGTAAGGAAAGAAGTTGCCAGTTGGATTTTTATGACGCAGGCTCACACAGTGCACCTGGCAACGATAAGATAACATTATCAAGACATCACATTCTGTTTCTCAGTGAGTTCCTTCCAGGCTGATGACAGACGTTTTAGGCTGTTTTTTCTGTCATTTACCATTTCTATCAACCCTGTCATTTTATTTCAAGTTTGGCTGATTTTACTCTTTTCTGTGTTGTCACTACGTTAGGTGTCATACTTTGTTAGACTTCTCCAGAGTTTTTTTTTTCCTCAGTTCATCACTTTTTCTTCTCATGTTTTTTTTCTACATTTGTCAGAAGCTAATCTGCTGTGTTTACCATTTAACAGCCTGTCCGTGAAGGCTAACCTTTTGTAATTGAGTTTTTACTACAACATATTAAAGGGGCAACAATGAAAACTTCTGTCAGGGTGTGCGAAGCAGTTGGAAACTGCCTTACCTTAGCTGTTTACCGAATATGAGCACACTAATCAAGAAAACTGTATTCATTAAACAAAAAAACAAAACGAAAAAGGGGCTTTAAGTTGTCAGCTCACGTAACAGTGTCTCATTATGATCTTAAGGGAACAAATCAAACACATACAAATCTTTTAATCCATGAAGTCAGTCCTATTTCAGCTGTGATAAAAGAAAACAGCTCTTCTTTACAATCATTATGCTAATGGTCACTAATAGTTATTCAAAGGACAGAATAAGACTTTATGATAAAGAGATGGATGGACGCAAAAAAATCTGACGGATGAAGGAGCCAATTTTGCTCTTAACTTTTCTGCACCCCCGAAAAGAAAGTTGTCTTTCAACTTCACTTTGACATTGCAGTAGGGGTGAATGCCTTTAAAGATTTCTCTACATAGTTATTTTAAAAAATGCTCATAGCCTTCTCGGAAATTAGCTTAATTGTCTGAACAAAAGTGCTGAGAAAATTGGTATGGGGGAAGATTAAAGATAATGTGTACACGTTTCACAAACCAATCCAACAAAGCAATTTTTTTATAATTGGCCAGCGTGGAGATCAGACTTATAGGAACGAGTTTCCTGTGGAGTTGGACTGCTGCTTTTTTTATACTCATTTTGATCACATCTTAAAGGCCTTTTTAGGTTTCATCTTTACAAATAAACCACAGCAGATATCCCATCCTTCATTATCTTGTTAAAATGTGGCAAAATATATCTAAAGAGTAAGATAAAGAAGGAACCCAATTACCTAGCTTATCGTTTTTGGACCAAATTACCACATAATTGCTACAGCCTACAGATTAACTGAAGGTCTATGATAATTTTGTGATTTAATTAATGCTTGTGGTCACAAAGTCTCTGTGGTTTCAAGCCGGTTCTCCTGGTGGCTTTTTAGCCTCCTCACACCTTTCTGTATCATCAACAGACGAGTTTGAGACTTCCCCCTGCACAACAACTGCAGACACCAGGTGCCAGTGCAAACAAGGAACCTTCTGCATCCCAGATCAGGCCTGTGAAGTCTGCAAACGCTGTGCCAAGTGAGTGCCGCTCCCCATCCATCTGAAACTCTTTCCATTGGATGGCTCCACTTTTTCCAAAACTGTCTGATCACGGAAGTGACATGTCTGCTATTCAGTGAAGCAACTAAGGATTCAGGCGTCCTCATCGTAACGTGCTGTTTAATGCTTTGTTTCTGCACACCTGCAGGTGTAAATCAGGTGAAGAGGAAGTGAAGAAGTGCACCCCTATTTCAAACACAGTGTGCAGAAAGCGTGATCCATCAACTGAAACCCCTCCAGCAAACCCCCCGCCGACCCCTGCCTCTCCAACTAGCATCGGTAATTTTCACGCAACCTGTTTCTCAGCGTTCTCTCTTCTCACCCAATTTGAATTTAATTGCACCTTCTCACCACCACGTGTGTGTTTTTCCAGTGATTCCTGTCATTGTTTCCCTGCTCATCCTCTGCCTTCTCATTGGACTGTCTGTGTGGTGGTTCATTAGCAGGCGTCGTTCCTGCAAAACACCATGTAAGTTGACATCATACAGTGTTGCTTTACGGTGATGATTTGCTGGTTAAACGTACTCCTGATGCCCTTTTCCTCTCTGTAACAGGGTCAAAGAGCTCCTGTGACTCCAGTGAAATTGTGAAGATTCCCATTGTGAGTTATAATTGGTTGTTTTTTTGTGTTTCTTGTCACAATTATCGTACATAATCAGGGACAATATGTCACTTGTCTGCCTTCTCCGCTGCTGTTTTTGTTAGGATGAGAGTGGAGCCACAGCAGAAGAGAGACAAAACAACCAAAACGCAGGCCTTGAGGGTGAAGAGTCCCGCCCGGAGTCAAGGCCACTGCTGCAAGAGAGCGGGATAACTAAGCCCTCTTCTCCCCTCGAAGATGAAGATCGAGGACTCGGGGACAGCCTGCCCAACACCACGAGTTCCTCTCAGACCAGCCTGTCGGCCCTGCCCACAGCAGCCTCTGCTGGGAACACCCCACACCAGAGCCCCTCTGCCTGCAGGCTGCTGCCTGAAATGGTGAGGAGGAACATCAGATATCAGGTCTTTGATACGGATGATGTGTTATCTTTCTCAATTTTAACCTTTGTCTGTTCTCTGGTGATACAGGATGATCCTCTACGACATCGACTGCTGCCACTACAAGGTAAGAGTCCTGCTCTGCCGGTTGAGGTGGATTTCCCCCGTTTTCTCCCATCTGTGACATATTCTTGTCTCTCCTGAAGATATTATTGGTATTTCAGATGTATAGTTAAATAGACACAGAACAGCTAAAGCTCACTGTAATCCGACCAACGTGAAGTCAAACGAACAAAATCTCCACAAGTTCTCACATTTGCCCCTTGACAGATTGCTAATCTCATGATAGTCAGGCCGGATCCCAGCCTGTAGGGCGCCGGAACACGCTGTTTCTTTTTTGTTTTTGTCAAGGCTTTTTTTTTCAGTATTTAGGAGGACACAGCTTTGCTGATTTGTTTGAGATCCCGTGAAGGGAAATAAACGAAGATGTATTTATTATTTATCTCCTTGTGTAGGAACAAAGGCTTTACTGTTAGCATAAGGCATGTTCAGTAATCCATTATAGATCCACTATAAGCAGATTTGAAGACGTAAAACAGCTAAAGTTCTATTTGGAAATATATTATTATTAATATTACTATATTGGAAATTCCTCAGTTCACTCTATGTATTTCTGTTGTTCAGGTTCAGAAAAATCCCTCCGGAAGAGCTTTGATTTGTTTGACGAGTACCTGGATGTGCGGATCCACAACAAGTTCTTCAGAATGATCGGCGTCAGCGACAACCACATCCGGATCGCGGAGAATGGCGCCCCCGCAGATAAAGTCTATGAACTGCTGAAGAACTGGATGCAGAGGCAGGGACTCAAAGCCGACATCAACGACCTGTTGGAGGCGTTGCTGGGCATGGACCAGCGGCGCTCAGCTGAGTGCATCGCCTCTGCGGCCATCAGGAAGGGCTACTACAAGCACGCAGACTCCCCCTGAAAAGCTCACACACCAGGGACTGCGGATGAAGTAAACACAACGTACTCAACACAAGAATAACTACAAGCACACAGACACTGTCGGTGGACGCTGTGTCCTATGAACAGGCTTACCTCTTTGTGGTTGAACAGCCATGCTTTTAAAAGCCAGTAGTTTAAAAAGAAAATCGCAAAAAAGGGGAAAGTCGAGACGGATTGACCAGTGGTCTGATGATTTTTAAACGCTTGCCTGATGCCGAAGTTTAATAATGTTTTTTGGTGGTCAGATTGAAGATCATCACCACTAGAAACTACAGTGAACACGCTGTCAAAAAGAAGCAATCAGCATGCCACAGAAGTGTGTCTCGGGCTCTTGAGGAGCAGCATGCTGCCAAACACTGAAAGCTTAAAAGTCTCCAGCTTCGGGTCACTCTTCTGGTCCTCTACGATCATAAGACGCCGCCGGGAGACGAGGATATACACTGGTTTGTAGGAGTGGCTTTAGCAATGTCACTAAAACTGTGCCCCATCATGCACTGATCTCTGGCACATGTAGGATTTGAAACAAGTCATGTTGTATGTTTTTTTTATTTGTAGATTTAGCTTTCTCTCATACATAGATATATAAATACATATATACCAGTGAGCATTTTCCTGACTAAAGGCAGGAAAATATTGACAGTTATTAACATGCATCCCTACTAATCCCTACTTCATCCTTGTTTGAAATTCACTAAGGTGTTTTTTCTCCGACTATTTTATGTTCCTGAAGCTCAACGTTTCAAAACGTGCTTGATTTTGTACAATGTGGTCACATCAGTAGTGTTCTCAGTCTTTCTGGCTCGTATCTGTTCAGTGTTAGCGCTCACAAACAACACGGTAGAACGGACCTCTACCCGCCGTTTCTGATGGAGAAGCTGTTGATAGTTTGATAAATGTTTCCATAATGTTTCTTTGTAACATGGAGAACTTCAATGGTCATTTTATTTATTGACATATTTATTGAAATGAATGGTAATTATCTCTCATTATTTATACCTTTTGCCAAAACGACCCAAGATATGAAACACACAGGCACACGCTATCTGTGTGTGGGTGATGTGGTTTAGCTACGGGGCAAAATGACTGAGATCCGATCTTTTTCAAGTTGTGTGGAACTAGTTGTTGAACTCTGTTCCAGCTCGCTGCGCTGAGGTGATGCAATGCGTCCGTCCGCGCGGTGAGCGTCACTGATCCGTCTGCCATTTGAGAGTTTCCACTGGGCACGCGTTCAGGACAGCGTTCTGAAGCTGCCGCCGTGCTCGATGCAGAATGTATCTCTTTGAATTGGAGCTAAAGTGACTTGAGTCTTGGACGTCCGTCCGTTTCAGCAAACCGACTGACCAAATAGTCCTTCTACACATGTCTGAGCGACATGGGCGCAGGTACGGATTTTTTTGTCTTGATTAATCTCAGACAGGATGAAGGAAACCTTTTCTGGATATAAAAAAAGAAGCTCAAATTTGTTACTTCAAATCTGCCCCATGTGCACATTTGGGTGTCCTTGGAGCTCTCAAGCCTCATGAAGTGTATTTGTATATATGCCGCTGTATTAGCATGCCAAAATGATGATGATGAGGTTTGTGGCTGTTGAGGACGACAGTGATGTTTTTTTTATTTTATTTTTTCCAAATTTTGTGCCCAGTTTCTGCATTCTTACATTCTAAGCACAGAGTTAGTTATATGTTGTTGCCGTGGAGCGACACTACAGTGCTGGCACTGCCATCTACTGATGGAAAATGAAAATACAGCCTGCATCAATTTCTTAGGGACCTAACATGGCACTCTCCGTTTCACTCTCTCTTCTATATCATGAAATTTTCAATAGAAGATTCCTCTTGGCATGAACCAGCATAGCAGTGAATAGGCTTCAATGCATGTTTTCTTTATGGTAGAATATATGTGTGTGTTTGTCTTTTCGTTTTTACATACTGTCAATGCAAGTCTAAGCTGTTTAATTAACTTCCTTTTACTCGTTTTACATCTTTCTGTTCATTGTAGAGTCACATCTCCCTTGGTTATTGTATGCTCGTCATGGAAACATCAGAGCTGTTTTACATTGATTTCAAATAAATGTTTTGTACAGGTTTGCTTTTGTTTGAATGATTTTAATTTGGCTTTTTTATTGTTTAGAAATTCTCAGAATGAGCAAATCAGTTGCACTGACACATTATTATTAAAAATAACAGCCTGTTGTATCAATAGTCAGATGTAGTTTTGAAAAATACCACAGATGACTAAGAGTCTAAAACGGCCTCTATTATATCATAAACCAAAGTTTTTCAAATAAGTCTTTAATTTTAATTATATCAAGTATGACATGACCTCGCCCTGAATCCTTTCTGCTCATGGAAATGATAGTTAACACATCACCAACTGTAGTTTTGCTCAGAAACTCAGAAAGCTAACCTTTCAGCACATGCATTAGATTAAATAAGTCTAATTACCAAAGGGCCCAAAAGATGCTGAACCAGGTTTTGTTCCACTTTTAGCTGTTATATCTGACATTTACAAATTGAGTTTTAGTTCTAATGGGTAAGGCCATCGTTGCAGAGACTATAAATTGCCGTAATGGACTGTCTCTCCGACCATCTTGGCAAAGGAAAAGAAAGTAGCCAGGATTTATGTGGATGTGTGCTATGAGAATCCTCTCAGCTACCAATAAAGCCAAATACCATATTCCCCGAGTGGCATCTGTGTGCCGTCTGTGAGAGAGGGCAGATAAGAGCCTCTCACAGTGCGAGGTATTCCCACTGTGCACAAGGTCAAACTAACCTGGGGGCTGACTCTGCCAAGAGCTGACGCCAGGCAGCCCACTCCTTCACAAAATATGTTCCACACAATTAAAACTCAGAAATTAAGAGGAAAGAGGATGATATCAAATCGGAGCCTTTTTTTCCCTTCATTGACAGGACTGTGATTTGTCAGAGGAGGATAATGATTCACCACCCTCTCCAGCGAGTGTTCTACCAAGGCGACAGGAACAAGATAACAGGAAAAAACAACAGCCATTTCTAGTTTTTTAAGTGCTGCATTCCACACGTGGGAGGGTCCAGGTTATGGTCAAGGTTTACTGGGGCTTAGCTATCATTAAGATTAGTCATTACACCCGTTTTTTCCAAAGATAAATACAAATTTACAGTTTTAAAAGTGCTCATGTATTCATGTATATGAATATGTGTGTGTGGACTAGGACAAATAAATCATGTACAAAGACGGTTATAAAAAGGTATCAGCGAGTTGTTCGTTAAACAGTAAAGGGCATCATCACTACATGATGATTGGACGCAATCCAAAAGATGAGGACGCATCAAAAAGAAACCCTTGGGAATCGCAATGATTCTGCATTTTCCTCTTCAGTCATTTAGGAAAAAATCTAGTGATTTTTGTGGTCCTTGATGAATGAGCTTATCTCTCTCAGAGAGACGTTTGATATAACTGAATAGATTTTCATAAGGGTCTCTTTCATCTCTTTCCGTATCACCTTTTTCTTGTGTCACTTTGCCTTTGTTGATAGGGGTAAAAGTTACGCCAGACTCTTTTCAGAACTCCATCGAAGTAGTAGAAGTGACCGCTGTCATCTTCATTGACGAGGTTGGGCCCCTGCTGGTCTCTGGTAGGTTCATCCCGCAGACCATCCGGAGCATCGTTTCCCAAAAAGCTTCTGGATGCTGGTTGTTGAAGTCTGTCCATACAGTGTTTCCTCCCGGCCTCTGTCCGGTGGATCAAACCTCTGCAGAGCGGCCGGCTGACCGCTGTGGTCTGCGAAGAGGAGAGTTCATCATTTAAGCCACCGACCGCTGCCCACTGGGCTCCACTTGGGTGTTAACACATTTTTACTCTTTAAATGAGGATCGTAAGTCAGGTTTTAGCATTTTAGACGGGTAATTGTTATTCCATTTTCCAAATCTCAGGGTGTTTGGAGACGGGGTATTCCCGAAATAGCCCCAGCTCAACGGTACATTGAGCAGCAAAGCTAAGACAGTTAGCTGCTAGCCGGGTCTGTAGACCGGAAAAGGACTGATGATGTCTCCCTGTCAGTGACATTAATGGGACATTATGGGGGACAATCTCATTTCCACAGAGCGCTGTGTGCTCTGGGATTCACAGACCGGTTCTGAAACTGTGGAGTGCCCTAATAACAAGTTATAGTACACCCATTCAAGGCAAACCTCACTATCTCTGTCCGGTCGTCCAGTCAAAATGAACGGACCTACTTCTCGAGAAAGTACATTTCAATGGAAATTGTGGTGCAGGACAGTTGTTTGTCGTGCCTTCCTTTGAAAGTTTTTTTATCAGCTGCATCTCTGAAACTGAGAAAAGAGAGCAGCGATTTGAGCATGAGTCACACACACATGTAAGAAAATGTAAAAAGCTAGTATGTCCTTTGTTTTTGCCTATGAAGAATATGGGGGTAATCGACTCCAGTTCTTTGAATTTCGCCTTCTTATCCGGAATGGAGCTCTGCCTTTTTCTACTGATTCACCGTGTTCTCGCTGAGTCGATGGGATTTAGTTCACAAATCTGATCTATCGTGTAGATCTAAGTCTGTGAGTTCGCTTACCTTCAGAGGACTATTTAAGGCTTCTTTGTAGACGGCCCCTGAAGACTTTGGAGGTCCAATAATCGTCTTTCCAGGATCCTTCTCACCGTCTTTCCCTTCGCTTTTGCCCCAGTTGGCCGTCGCCCCGGTTTCTGAGCCCTCTCCCAGCTTTTTCACAACGGCCGGGGTGTCTTCTCTCATCCTGAGGCCTGAGAGCAAGTTTGGAGTTGTAGTTTGTATACTTTTTTCTGTTGCATATTTTATTAATCTGGGCTCAGTGGCTGCCCGGGGCCCCGGCATCGTTGTGGTTGGGCTCTGATCTTTCCTCGGCCTCGGGTCAGCTGTCCCTGCGCCGGCTGGACTGAAGACTTCAGGCGGACTGGTCCTTTGCGTGGCCGTGTTTGTGGTGGGGGCTGCGGCCGTTTGGGGCCGCGGTGAGAGAGGGGTGGCTGTGGTTGACTCCTCCGGCGACCCGATTTCTTCTCTAACGCGAGTTTGGTCGGTTTCTGGTCGCTCTGCTTTCTCTGTGGTGGACGGCTCCGCTGTGGGGTCAGCTCGTCTCAAACCCATCATTTCCGCGCTTTCCATTGCCTTTAATTGAAAGCATTGTTTGCCGTCCCTCAAGCGTTTGAACTTTGATTTGTCTGGGTTGATAATGAAGCCTGGCTGAGAGTTGCCTCGGATTTTTATCTGAAACACACCGAAACATACATTCTTGTCATCCTGAGAAGGCCTCTTCGCATTTTTTGACCTATTTATGGGTCCTTTAATCTCTCCTGATGCCAACGGGACGGGCCTCTGAGCATAAAATCCATCTGAATCCTCGTTAGAAGCTTTCAAAGAGAGCTGTTTCTGTAAAACTTCTTTTGAATCAGAGTCTTTGTCCACATGTTCGTTTTTCTTCACGACGCTCAGCACGTGTTGCTGGATCTCCAGCTGGAGTTTATCTGAATTTTCCCAGGAGGAGCTGTCGGGGGACTTCAGCGTAGTTTGGAGAATACGCTGGCGACAGATGAAAAAACACGGCGCTGTATTCTGCAGGGGAACTTTCATGGCCGCTCGCCGATTGCCGGGATTTTGTTTTACTCTGGGCCGCGAGACCTCCTGCTTGGATGCTATCTCGATGTTCAATGCCGCTTCTGTTCCACCATCTTCTGCACAGCAGGAAATAATCACGCCTGCTGCAGTGCAGTATCTCTTTATCAACGTTTCCTGCAGTCCAACAACAGCGACGGGTGCCCGGCCCTTGGATTTCTCCAACAAGAGAGCTGGAAAATTGTGGCCTGAGGTGGAGAAGCGATGAAGCAACCATGCAGACCAGAGATCAGGACCCCTCTTAATTATATCCATGGCAACGTGACTCATTTCGCTCGAGACGTGCAGGGCCAGCAAAGTGTTGGATCTCACCAAAAAAGCTGGAACGTGTTTTCCCTCCTTATAAGAAGAAGACACAGCCTGGAGTGACAGGGGGAGGAAGATGGAGTTAGTTACAAAACTGCTACCAGACAAATGAATGAGCCCAGAGCCATAAAACAGCCATTTCAGCCTCACTGATGGCGTGCCTCAGAGATCGTCCTGAGTCCAGACTGAAATATCTATCTACAAGACAGAGTGGCTGCGGGCTACATTTTGCAGAGGCAGTCGTGGTTCCCGAACGATAGATCACGGATGACTTTGGCAGTCTCCTTTAACTATATTGGCAGCGTGAGACTGACGACTTTCTGACTTTAAGAGAAATAGTAGAAAACTGGCGTTTACTCAGAAGGCCCGGGACGCTCATTTCATTCTCAGGAGGAATTCGCAAAACATTGTTGACACCCTGACTTCATTCTGTTCCTGCCTTTTAGGTCCAGAACGATTTTCTTATTTTGTCCAACATTTTGCTGTCCAACAAATCAAAGTTCAATCTGTAAACTCGTTTTTAGTCTCTGTAGTATTCACCTTATGAGCATGTTAGCACGCAGATGCGAGCATGAATAGTAAAAATTCTGTAGTAAATCTTCTATAACTCTGCTGGACATTTTCTAAAGAAATAAAGGTCACTTCAAACTTTTAATCTGGAAACCACGTGGACCGGTTTCCCTTTACCGTAAAACATACAACAAACCCACATATTACAATACAATTATAACATAAGAAATTCTCCTTCTTAGTTTTGATTTGCTTCCTGGTGGGACTGAAGCTTTTTACCGCCTTCAAAAGCTGAACACTTTTGTTTCACACTGAGTTAAATCAGAAGCAGCTTGATAATTTCTAAATCTGTAATAATCAGCCCTCTGTTCGCAGGCAGTCTAATTGGGAACTCTAGGCTGTAAAAAATATGTTCAATTCCACCTGGAAAGAAAGATAATTCATGCACACTGCAGCTAGAGAGCAGCAAAGCAGAGAGATTGAAACAAGATGGAGACGAGCAACATGCAGACAGACATCAGCTTGTGGCGTTTGCTCGTTCTGACAGCAGCACATATGCTAGTCCTCCTCTTTTATGGTGAAGGCATAAAGCTAAAGGAGGAGTTGATTCAGACTCACATTAAAACAGTGTGAAAACAAGCATACCAGCGTCAGAAAACGAGTCCAATGGAATATTCCCTCTGTTTCCCGATGAATGCGCCTGGGATAATTACGGCCTCCAGCTGCCCTGCCATGTCTCTGGAAATTCTCACAGTTGGACCCAGCTTGGGTCAGAATTAGTAGCAGGAGTTTATCGGGAATCCTCCGTCTGAGGCCATCCGTGATCCAGTGTCCGTCTCCGGGGGGGCTCAGGTCAGAGAGGAGCAGGGCCACCAGCAGCCACGTCCTCATGGTGCCCACAGGAAATGTTGGGAGGCGGAAAAAAAATTAATAGTCGGGCTTCATCTTTTATCAGCTTTCTTGCTTTGAATATGCAAAACACTGGCAAATAATAGAGTCTGTTCTTTCTAACAAGATGTAATCATAAAGCGGCGACTTCCACAATTTGAAGTTAGTGGAATTGGTCCGCATTGGATATTTGAGATTATTTTGACCACATTCTGGAGTAACTTAAAGAAACAAACATTTCATTGTTCTATTGTTTTTTCCTTTTTGAACATATGAAAGGAATTAAAAATACAGGAGTTACAACTGAGGCTTGTCGTGGCTTAGTCTTCAGAAAAGTAGAGTAAAGCTGGATAGATTATGTACACTCATGGGAAACTGACAGTTTTCATTAACAAGGCTTTTAACACTCAACAACAATCGCTATACTGATCCAAAACTCTGGCTAAGGTGTAAAACTCACCAGAACAACTTCTGGCCTATCCTTGTTACATTTGCCGGTGCTATCTGTGTGTGTTTGCATATTATGGGGCAGAGCAACCAGTATGCAGAAAGTCCTCGGATGCAGACACACTTACACTATTTTATTAGAAACTACCTTCATTGAATCAGCAGGTAAGATTCTCTAATATAAGTGTCGCCAAGTATTCATTTTAAACTGATTAGTAAATTATTTTGCTCACTTAAATTCTATAAGGGCTCTCATACAATGCATATATGTACAACTTTCTTCCTTCATTTAACAGTAAAATAAGCCTTTTGTGTTTGTGGGATGAAAGTTGAAATCCAGAATAACATGATATTGATTTAGAAGCAAATGGTCCAGACTGGGCTTTAGAAAGGGGCTTGAGTTAAGCAAAACAGAAAGACAAAAGAAGTATTTTGAAAATAGACAAGGACTGAAATTTTCATCCTAATCTTGAATCCAATTCATCAGACATGTTTTGATCGCGCAGCCTCCTGCAGGCCTGCGGTCCCCAGAACTGTCACATCATAAGTCAGGCATGGGGAATACCAGCAGCGCATGTCAAATGAGCAACTACAGCCGGAGGAACGTGCGGGCGTTCATCACGGAGGAGGCCCAGCAGATTGACGCCTTCATCACTTCCCAGACGGACGCTCATAAAAGCCTGCCTGCGCTTCCGGGGGTGAAAAAGTTCAGCTTCAGGAAAGAGATCAGCTGCGTGCGTGTGCTGGCCTCTCAAACTCAGGAAGTGCCCTGGGAGCCCCGGCGCTTTCTGTCTGTCTTTGTGGAGGACGAGGACGATGAAAACGTCTGTTGCAAACAGATCATGCTCAACATGGCGCTCAGCGCTCCAGTCACCGTTCTGCTCTACGACGTGTAGGAAAAACAGCCCGACCCTCATCTGCTGATTGTCTGTAACTGATTGGGGTAGAAATAGTACCAGGCTGCTGTCGCAGTAAAGTTACTGCGAGGCCCTTCAATAAAAATAAAAAAAATTCCAATCAGCCGTTTGGCCTTTTTGCCTTTGAGTCGTCATTACAGATGGAATGAGACTAAACATGTTGATTCTGTGTTCATCTGGCTGCGTGACTCCCCCGCTGGGATCATCTGCTGTACTCCAGGTCTCAGCACTGTCACCAGACTGTGGGGTCTTTGTGCTGTTAGTAGACTACGCTAAATTAAATGTCAAGGTAGCGATTGGTGTTGTCCCCATGAGGCTGTTGTGAGAAAATAAAGACATTGTACAACTCTTTACTTCGTCACTTTGTCAGCATATTTACAGACACTACAAAAAGAATACATGAGACATGTGTAGTAAGCCTGTTAATAGAAAAGTAAGATCTCTTTTGGGTATTGCACCTCAGAATTTCAGACCATTTCTGAGCAGAACTGTCAGATTTTCTATGGTTTTAGAGTAAGGACACATTGTATTCCAAAATCATTCTTCAGAGGAATATTTTGCAAGATGTTCTCCTTTTACCTGGTAATTGATCAAGAAATCATTAAAATCATTAAAAAGCTGATATTGATGTTTGAAGGGTGGTGAGTGGCTGTTATAAATAGGCTCACTCATCCTATGAACATATTTACCTCCTTCTGATCATGTCTTATATATCCACTTTGCTTATACCTGCAGAAATGTGTCCAAAAGATGTTAAACATATGTGTTTAAAGTTTTAAAGTCGATGAGTTTGTGTAAAAATTGAATGGTCATTCTCAAATTTAGAAAATAACAGAGAATATTTGAAAATCCAAACTTAAAATGCCAGAGATTCACCAAGGACGACACTTAAAATCCAGGAATACATAAGTTGTTTTTTTCTGCGTTTGGTAAAACCTTGACAAAGTCCCTGGCAAATTCACATGACTAAGCGAAAATTGAGTTTGTTATGAAACTTTTCATTGTCATGGATTTTGTAACCCTTCTCTGCTGCATGTAAACTTGTGTAAAAGAAGTGTCCTACTTTCAAACTGTTTTTTTTATTTTACTTGAACAAGAAGAAAAGTGGGTTGAACAACACCGTTATAAAAAAAAAGTGATGAACAACGATGAATAGTTCACATGAGCTCATCATCAAAGTAAGCCTTTGGTGTTTCTGTTCCATAACCCTTACATTGCTATTTTCAAGTCATGAATAAGTAAAAAAAGATGGCCAGTCATTATCGCGAGGCACTTCTTAAAATATGGATTTTAAAGCTAGGTCACAGACTGGAAGCTCTTCAGGACTTGAGGCAGTAAAGCAACTCCAAACCATTATATTCCCACCGCCATGCCTCACAGAAGATATGTGGGTGTTTTTCTGATAAGACGCATTTGTTCTACTCCAAACGTGCATTCTTTATGAGGCAGTTACTGTGGGTAATGTCAGTTTTGACCCCTGGGAAACTGCTTTTCACTGAGAGAAAGGCATTTGCGTCCCACGTGAATGAAATGTCTTTCTTTTTTTCTTTATTTATTGATTTCCCCTTATGGAAGACACGGCACATGGAAGCCAGCTGCTCGAGACGCCTTTTACATCCAACAGTCAGCTGCTGGGCTGCAATTTACTGGCTGTCGGCTGTTTGAAGCCAAATGCCCCCACTGGTTTATTTTCATTACAGTCAAAGCATTCATTCAAAATCATCTGGAGACATTTCTAAACCTTGGGCAACATTTGCGAGAATCGCAATCATTTTATCAGAGATCTGAGAGAGCTTTATGGATGTTGGCTGCAGGACATCACTCAATAAAACAAATAAAAACGCACTGCATCATAATCATTTGGGGTTGGAAATAGACAGATACCCCTGTTATTTAAGACGTTCTAACTTGTACAATTTAATGCATTATGACATGTAAGTGTGTACATTTATTAATCTCAGCTGTAACTGTAAAGTACTCACAATGTTTCTTAATAAGACAGCATTTTCAGACCTTTTCAGGCAACTGTTTCAGTAAGTTCTGCCAAAAATGTTTTTTTCCCCCACATCTTTGTCACATGCCCCTCCAAAACAAGCCTCACGAAGCCCATCCCTCTCTCTTCCAGCATGCTTATTTAACATCACAGCCATTCCTAAATAAATCTGCCACGCAAAGTCACCTCCTGACAAGTGGATATAAAACAGAAGGGAAAGAGAAACATTTTCACGTCCGGAGAATGGATTCACATGTGGCAGAAATGCACACCACCGGTAAGTGCTGATTATGAATGAGTTGTTTGCATTCCAAATCTCAAATTCGAATGTCTCAAATGTCCTGGTCCTTTGAAAAAATCTCCAAAGCTGAACTTGTACACCACTGAATATTCAAAGGAAAATTTAAAGCAGTGCCATTTTTGTTTTTAATTGTAGGTACAGTTGTAACATTCTTATTTTTTAAACATAAATTAAGCAGAAGCAGAAATATTATTTTTTACAGTGGTCCAAATGACCAAAAATGTTCCATCATGTTGGATTGTAAATCAACCACACAGTCATAAATCTGAACTTCCACACGTTCGAGTAACCTTGCGCTCTTCTGGTCTCTCCCAGGTTTGAGGTCGCCTGTGTTTTTTCACATCCTCTATGGTGTGTGCCTGTGTTTGGGTGTGCTCTGTGTGCTCTTTGTCAGCCTCTGGTGCGTGTTGTGGCACGGGGGCTTCGCCTGGGATGGCTCAGACCAGCAGTTTAACTGGCATCCTGTCCTCATGGTGTCCGGCCTGGTCGTTCTCTACGGCCTGGGTAAGCTATCATTGTTTAGTAATGTTTAATTTTGTCATAGTCTGCCAGCAAAGAAAGTTCCACAATTTGTTTTTCATCTAAATTAACTTGTAGCAGATAATTTGTAGATTTTACATTGTTGTATGGATGATCCATCTGGCTGTAAAATCTACCAATTGGCACAAAAATAAAAACACTTGATCAAAACTGGTTACACATCAGGGTTCTGATCCAACGTTATGGTTTCAGGATCCAGTTTGTTGTGTTGTTGAAAACTACTGGTTTTTGTAACCATGAGCGTCAGTTATGTAACACATGCAACAGTAAAATATTGTCTTTCAAAGACCATTCCACCAATTTTCCACATGAAACTCAGCTGATTTGCCACAAAGAGCACAGCTCTGGTGGTTAAAACTGTTGTCCGAGGTTGTGAATAGCCTGTCTGAAACTGTGAGAAGTTAACCCTCATGATTTCATGATGATGTCATCATCAATGCTGTCATGCATAAGCGTCCATTTTTCTTCCCTAAATTGAAGGATCTAAATTCAAAGGTTGAGATAAAGTCGCAGGATAGATTTTGACCTAACTTTTATTCAGTTGTGATGATAAATATAATGTACTAACACATCATCAAAACATAATGGTAAATAGTTGGCGATCACAACTCACATTACTAACATAACAAACAATCTGTTCTGATTTGTCTGCAGCGGCCGTGATTTATCGAGTGCCCTTCACCTGGAAGCAGAAGAAGTTCACATGGAAGTTGGTGCATGCTGGATTGTTGCTGTCGGCTCTTGTTCTGGCCGTCCTGGGCTTGTGTGCTGTGTTTGACTTTCACAGAGCCGCGGGCATCCCTGACCTGTACTCTGTTCACAGCTGGGTGGGCATCTGTACTGTGGTCATGTTTGCATTTCAGGTAACTCATCTTAACACATTTATCTTGCTTTCTGGAAATATGTTTGACATACTTAGAGATTAAATATACTTATAATACTTACCTGTTTGACAGTGGGCCCTTGGCTTCGCTGGCTTCTTGTTGCCCTGCTTTCCTCGGCGGCTCCGTACCTACCTCAAACCAGTCCACATCTGGCTGGGGATAGCCATCTTAATTCTCAGCTTGACCTCCTGCATCAGCGGAATTAACGAAAAACTGTTCTTTTCTCTGTAAGTGCTTCCACATCCAGAATATAACTCTTCTCCTTATATAAAAAGGATGGCAACTCAAACTTCACATTAGCAGAGTCATGATGCTGCAGTCTGTGCAATTTGTCAAAGATATGGCAAAAATACATGTTCAAATGAAAAATCTCTTTTGACTTCATGACATCATGACTTTATGTTCTGCAGTAATGGAGTCTCCGGAGAAGCCTACAAGTCACTGCCAGCAGAAGCAACGTTTGCTAATTTTCTGGGTATCCTCCTTGTGGCTTTTGGGCTGGTTGTCTTTGGAATCTTGTCCAAAGCCCAGTGGAAGCGGCCGGAAACAGATGAGAGTGTTTACGTGAGTATTTATGAACAATGTGACCAAAGTGGGTTAATTTAGTTCTAATTGTTAAATGTAGTTTAATTGTATTTTCATGAACTTTATATTGTTTCTCATCTTACACAGTTCATCTTACTTATGCTGAAGGTTTCCCTCACTGCTTTTCTCTGTATTTGCACTCTCTTTGTAAAATATTAATTGGGATGTTATTTCAAATTGCAGCCTCTGCTCAGTGAAAACGGCACATGAAATCCAGGCATGAAAGTCCAGAGGTTCGGTGATTTCTTTACAACCAGACGAAAACTGCGACAGTATCATTGTTAGCAGAGGATGGATTGAACAACTCATTGTTGTTACAAACTGACAGATTGTTTGTTTGCTGACTGAAATGGTCAAATGAATCGAGAGGGAAAGCCTCCTTATACGAATGTCATTCCAGTTTACTGCAATGTGTCTTCCTTGTTTTTTCATGGATCTTATGTATTCTGGAGAATTTACTTTTCAGGTATAAGTGTAATTTTTTTTTTACTTTTGTTTGCTTTTCCTGCAAAGTTTAATAAACAATAAATGTCAACTTGAAGCTTTTGCATTGTATCTGTGGCATTCAATCTGAGTGATAATCCAAATCTCTTTCTTCTCTGTATAAATGACGCAAGATCATATGAATACAGTTTATATATCTGATATATAACTCTACATGCAAATCATTTTTAGACTAATAGGAAAACATCAAGAAATTAAAAAGGAACACTGAAATGAAGACTCATGGACAAGCACATATATGCATAAATATGTGTCTATATGCATATGCATAAAGGCTTAATTTATTTCAAAAAACAAAAACAAGCCTTAAAAATGAACAACAACAACAAAAAGAAAAGAAAAGAAATAGAAAATAAAACCTTCACAGTTCCCATCTCGGACTGTGAGGGGCAGTGCTACACTCTGGGATCTTAAGCCTGCTTAGATTTACATGACGAAGAAGAGTATCGCTTCCTGTGGGGTCAAAGGTTATTAGCAAGCCAGATGATCAACCGGTTAGCGAAGTGGCTATTAGGATAAGACTTTTTATTTATAAAAATGGATGTAAATCAGACGAAACAGGAGCACTTGCTCGCCTTAAAAGGTAGTAACTGTTTCCTCCGGAAATGTTATGCTTTCAGAGGATGTTTTTGCGATAGAAAAAGGATGAGTGGTGCATAGTTTGGGCTGCTGTAAGAAGCTACTAGCGGTGTCTATAAACAATAGTTCAAATTTGTTGCTTTGTCAATGCTTTTCAGAGCATTTTTCTTTTCCACATTAGCATCTGTTAGTGTGGAGGTTGTAGAAATATATAATGTCAAATGAAGGTTTCTTATTGTGCTGTCTGAAGCTTACTCTGTGTTGTCATGAGTAGCTAAAGAGCTTAGCTGTTGTTTGCATAAAGTCCTGCAGCTAATGGCTCACAAACCTGTTTTTAGTCAGACGGTTACTAAACCAACAGCCTGTACTCCATTTACTGTTTCTTGAAATTCAAAGCTGAAAATAATATTTGTGTTGTTAATCTAAAATGCCCTAAGGGAACATGTCAAATGTCATGCCAAAATCCTTGTTGACATTCATCAATTTGAGGCCAGCTGTCCCAGACTGAAGGGTTTCACCTTTCTGATCATCTCTTTAAAGTCGGTGGGGATATATTTATGACTTATTTGAAAACTTTCACTATCAAGTTAAACCTTCATATTTTATATTGAATTACGACCTATTTTCCTATGTTGCAAAACATTCCTCCAACATTAAGTTAAAGTAACTTAATTAATTTCAAAGTTCTTAATGTAAAAGATAAAACTACATCTGAAAATATAATGTTTTAAAAATGACTATGTTCATTTGTTTCCATGTTTATTAAACGTGTTTGTCCTGTAGAAAACATATTCTATATTGTTCTATATTGTTCGCATGGCCATATGTTTCTTATTTCTTATCATTTGTTCGGTTTGACCTATAGGACTATTTTTGATTGTTGATAAAGAATATAACAATGCGCTGCCCTGTTTCTGATAATTCCCTTCCTTACTTTACAGTGATGCGGCTAACCAAACCGACCCTTTTCACAAACCTGCCAGTGACGTGTGAAGAACGAGACCTTCCAGGTGAGCCCATCCACAAAGCCAGAGGTCACAAAAGATGGACAGCAGAGAACACTGCTCAGCCGGTTTGTCAGATCCGTTAGCTGCAGGTTTATCTGCGTAAAGATGAGTCTGAAAATCTGATGGTCCGTGGTATCATTAGTTATTTATTATACTGCTCTAAACTACTGTTTCTGCTTCATTAAATGTGGAAAGTCTGTTAAGAGCCAGATTATGTTTTCATTTTTCTCCCATTCAGTCATCACTACCTTTTGAGAAGGAATGTGCCAGTCGTGCCTGAGAATACCTAATAAATGAATTATGTAGTAGTGTGTAGAAAAGCTGTGGTCAGCATTTCATTGTGGTTTGGAAGTGACTTATGCACAGGAATAAAGCTGACATAGGCATTTTCCTCCCACTCTTTAAAATTGTGAGAGGACTGCATCTACTTTGCATTAAGGACGATTCCTTTTTTTTTTAGGGTAATAAGTCATACTTTTGGATATATCTCCAATATATAGATGTTGATTTCCGGTCAAAGGTCACTGCGTGGAGATTTGACTGTTTGTTTTGTGGTTTTGTGGCCAGCCGACCGAGCAGGGCACCGTTACCGAACACCGCACGAGCCATAAATCACACAGGCTCTTCTAGGAAGTTTCTCTATTTATATAGCAAGTAGCTTGGAAGTGAAAACCTATTTTAAGATGCTTGTAAAAGGGTTTACAAGATCTGGACATGTGCAGATCTCATCACACTTCCTAATTCTCACCATCTTCCTTTGAATCCTCTCCTCTCTTTGGCCTTTGACTAGAATCCTCAGTTTTTTATCTGTTGATACGAGCCGAGGTGGCATTTACCAAAATGCCACGTATTTGCATCAGCGCTGTCTTTCTTTCTTTTTCTTTTTCTAAGTGACGTCTGTTCAATATCAGATGTAGCACGACATCATCACCAGACCTCCTGCATATTTGATTATTTTTCCTCCATGAGCCTTATTTTGAATTTAACTTAACAATGGTTTCCTTGCTGATGTGGATTTAGAATTTGATGGAAAGGGGAGTTAATTTTTTACTAATACAGTCTTGCTGGTGGTTTTTGGCTTTTTTGAAAGAGCTGTGGCTGATCTGTGTGTTCTTCATGGATAGAATAAGAAGTCTTTACTGCCACCTGCTGGCAACATCACGCAAACTGGGTCAGTCACTTCCCACCACAAAGAATAAAACAATGCCTCCAAATTTGGCCTCATTTTCGTTTAACCGATGGATGGAGACAGCTTGTAACTTAAATGTTTATTTTTCAAAAAAGATTGTGGAACATTTGCCCAGTTAGGAAATTAAAATCCAAGTCGATAAACACGCTGTCAAGGACATCTCAAACCTCCTCCTGACTCACTGGAACCACTCTCATTTTACAAGGTCGACAAGAGGAAAGGATTAACAGAGAAATGCTTTGGAAAAAGTCAAACAGTCAAAAGTCTCCTACAGTCTAAACACACTAAAATCCACCCTTGAGTTTCGAGTCTAGAAGCTCCAAGTTTTCCCAGCACAGCGTGCATCTGACTCAGCGGGTTTCAGGAATAAACAGTTCCAGTGTCTGAAATGTCTTTTTAAGCTTGTGTTTGTGTCTTCTAAGGGGATTTATTTGGCCAGCTTATGAGGGGAGACCCGTCCACCATAAAAGGAGCCGAGGCCTTAATGCTGGGAGAGATGCTCACATTACCGCAGAACTTTGGGTAATCGGCACGTCACTTCCCCCCAAATGAAAGGGCCCTGGGGCAGTTTGCGGGTATAACCCTCATCTCCTTGTGCCCCACAGGAATATTTTTCTGGGCGAGACCTTTTCCAGTTACATAAGTGTGCACAACGACAGCAACCAAGTGGTCAAAGACATTCTGGTGAAGGTACTGCAGAGGCAGAAATGGCCCCTTTCACTCCGGCTTCGGCCCCATTGTGACGTGTGCTGGAATTCTCCTCTGCTCAGGCCGACCTGCAGACGAGCTCGCAGAGGCTCAACCTTTCCGCCTCCAACTCCGCCGTGGCGGAGCTCAAACCCGAGTGCTGCATCGACGACGTCATCCACCACGAGGTCAAAGAAATCGGAACCCACATGTGAGTGCCCCAGACTCCCCGAGGACAATTCCCCGGTTCAAAAATGTCCTTTTTTTCCTTTTCTGAATGTAATTTCCTGTTTTTCGAATCCGCAGATTGGTTTGTGCGGTCAGTTACACCACTCAGTACGGAGAGAAGCTCTATTTTCGGAAGTTCTTCAAATTCCAGGTGAGCTGTGTTCGAGTGCTCTCATTATATGACGGCGCGCAGCTTGGAGGCGACGTGAGAAATGCCGCGGACGTCCAGCACAGCCAGTGTAATTACCCACCCTCCCCAGGACTGTCGGCTGCATTGCTCTAGGAGCAGACCGAAGACTTACTCTCTTCTTTGTGGCCACAATTAGTTTGGTTTTTGTTTTGGCCGAATGGCGCAACACTGTGAGAAAAGCCCTGCATTCAGTTTTCAATCTATTTTCAATCAGGTTTTGAAGCCGCTGGACGTGAAGACAAAGTTCTACAACGCAGAGGTAAAGACCACTCGGACACAGCGAAGTGCAGGCAGCCTCTCTGTACACATGGCATGCTTCATATCACATCTCATGTCATCGTCGGGGGGGTTTGCAGATGCTATTAGAAGCAGTTAGCATTGGAGTGGGCCTCCTGGAAAACCCTTGTGCCTCCAGGGATAAAAGCTGGAGCTGAAGAGTTTTCCCTTAGTAGCTTTTCCTGTTTTTTTTGTTTTTTATTTATATATCTATGGCTTTTTTTAAAATATACGTATATACATTTTTATAGCAAATATTCATTGTCATCACCTTTTTGCATGTAACTTCATGTGCTCATTATGTCTTGTATTTTATTTTCTCCATTAGAGTGACCTCAGTTCTGTGGTAATTCTTTCTTCTGTTCTCATGGCTGAACATTAGCTTCTCTTCATCCTTTTCGGTGCAGCAGACGTTCTCCGAGCCCAAAGAAAGGTGCAAAACAAAAGAGTGGGAGGAAATGTCCGGGTGTCGAAGGCCCGATAAACAATCCCATTTTATTTTTTTGGTCTTTTGCCCTTTCTTTGAGCGCTCGCGCTTTCTTGCAAACTCATCCTACACAGGGCTTGGACTGGTTTTGTTTTGTTTGTTTATTCGTTTTACTAAGGTTTGTGGTGTCAAACCGGTGGGTGGGGGCTGCATAAATTGTGTGCAAGGGGGGAAAAAATCAATGGGAAGATAGCAGATTAATTCTGATTTGTCCAAATTGTAATGACGACTTGAGTGTGTGTGAGTATTAATGATGTTTTGATCTAATCTTTTAGCTTTTTTTATTGCGGGGCTGCATGTTTCAGGCTGATGGAACAGGCCAATTACAAATTTAAATTAGTCTAATTCCAATTATGCGACTTTTGAAGTGTTTAAAGCACAGTGAGATGAAGCGAGATATAAATGTATGGATGGACAAAAGGTGTTAGGTTTTGTTGGAATGGCTTTGCATGGAGCAGAGATGCTAAACTCTCAGAGTCCAGATTAACGCAATTCAGAGGTAATGACTCAGAATATAAATTTCAGGCATGAACTAATCTCTGCTTTTATTCTTATTGAATTTCACTGTCAGGCAGAGGCTGCACAAACAAACTGACTGAAGGAAAAACAGCTGTGTGTTATTTTTAGTAATGTAACCAGAAGAAGTAGAACAGTTAAGAATTAAGGAGCGTAAACACACTTTAAATAATCTCCCCACACCCACGGGAGGCTACCCCACTGCAGTCACACTTCACCACAGATAAACCAGCACGCATTCATATTTCCTTTCCCGTGCTTGGAATAAATATCAATTATAAAGTCAAATGAAGACCTAAATGTGGAATTTGCTCATTTCTTTCCATATTCTGTTGAGAAACGAAAATGAAAGGCTAACCCAATCTCAAAGATTGTAACATTAATCAAACGGGGCGCCATTAAGGCATAGATTTTATTTATGCTGATTAGTTTGAGTTCGCAAGCTGACAAGCACAGAACTAAAGTAAATAATAGTTTACTATTGCTAAGCCAGCATATTATAATTTTCAAATGTTTGTGATCGACCAGGGAGAAAATGCTCCGGTCAGCAGAATCTCAAGCCTCAGTTGATCAAACGGTCAATTTCATTCACCCCCCCCACTCAACACACACACACACACACACACAGCTGATGTAATTTGGGTGACAAATTAAAGAAAAAATGGCCACACAAAGAAAAAGCTGCCCTTTGGAACACAATAATAATATCCATAATATGTGAGAAATCAATAGGAGTAACTCAGTCAGGCCGATGAACTGAAGTCAGCCGGGCTTGTGCAGCCTCTGCCACCTTCTGCAGCACTGGTACTAACAGACCCTCAAAGGTACACTGAGCAAACCTGATAGCACCCAATTAACGGCAACTTTGTAAAGATGTTAGTCCTCAAAAGATGGTTGAAACGTATTCACCGGATCACTCACACCACCTAAAGAGTAGCTCCGAGGATACGTTCACATTTTCTGCTCTTAAGCCAGTGAAAGCTGTGCGTGACCTCCCCCCATGTACGCACCGGCTGTGAAAAGAGCTCTCCTTGAAGAGAAAGCTCTGCTAGAAGTGCCAGGGGATGGAGATCCTAGCTCTCATTGTGTACAAAAAAGGATAATTTTAATGGGTTCACCAGCTGGAGTCGGTAAAATGACCCCAGAAAAAGCTCATGTGGGCACCTTTTCTTTGGATAAAACTGAGCAAATGTGAATTTATCCTCTCGAGCCGGTAGAATCTAGTCTAACCTTGTCGATGGCAAAAGCCGAAAATCACGAGTTGCTCAGTTCACCTTAGAGACTATGTCGCTGTGCTCGGCGGGCGAGGGCCGGTGTGAGCGTGACCCCCGACCTCTCGATTCCAGACGGACGAGGTGTTTTTGGAAGCTCAGATCCAGAACATCACCACCTCGCCGATGTTCATGGAGAAAGTGTCTCTGGAGCCCTCCATGATGTACAACGTCACCGAGCTCAACACGGTGGCGTGTGGGGATCAAGGGTAAAAGCACCGTTCATCCCCCTCCCCGCCTGTAGAGCACAAAATGGTGGATTTGAACTTCTAGTTTGTTTGTTTTTTTGTCATCGAGCAGAGAGTCCACATTTGGGAAAATGTCCTACCTGCAGCCCATGGACACCAGGCAGTACCTGTACTGCCTGAAGCCGAAGCCGGAGTATGCAGAGAAGGCCGGCGTCATAAAGGGCGTGACGGTGATCGGGAAGCTGGACATCGTGTGGAAGACTAACCTGGGAGAGAGAGGCCGGCTGCAGACCAGCCAGCTGCAAAGAATGGTGCGTGGATCTGTTCGCTCTGCCGAGAAGATCAAAGGCTTTTTTTTTTCCTTTCGATTTCATTCGTTTTTTACGTGTGCCCCCCCCCCCCAGGCGCCGGGCTACGGGGACATTAGGCTGTCCCTGGAGATGATCCCCGACACCGTGAACCTGGAAGAGCCTTTTGACATCATCTGTAAAATCACCAACTGCAGGTGCCCATCGGCTTCGCCAAAGCCAACACACACACACACACACACACACCTCTCACAAAAAGCAACGCACGATGAGATCAGTGAACGGCGGGCATACGCTCAAAGCTCCCCTTTTTCTCTTTGCATGCTGGCAGCGAGAGAACGATGGACCTGGTGCTGGAGATGTGCAACACCGAGTCCATCCACTGGTGCGGTATCTCGGGGCGACAGCTGGGGAAAGTGAGTCCCGGTGCCTCCCTCTCACTGCCCCTCACCGTCTTCTCCTCCATTCAGGGTCTGCAGGTATGATCCAGACTCTCAGTGTCTTACCTGTTTGTTTTGCTGTTTTTTTTTTCCTTTTACTTCTCAGTCACATTCTCCACCGGTCTTGTTTCAGAGCGTTTCTGGATTGAGGCTCACAGACACATTCCTGAAGAGGACGTACGAATACGATGACATCGCACAAGTGTGTGTGGTCTGCCCGTACACGAGCAACGAGTGTTGAATCCTTTAACTGCCTTTTTGCATTTTAGATATAAACGGACCAACTGTGGAACTCTGCACTTGATATTTGACTCTTTTTTGCAACTTAAAGAGGATGACACTGAGTTTTAAAACAAATTGTGGATAACAGTTATAATTTTTGTTTGAAAATAACTAAGGAAATGTGTAATAGTGTGAATAAATTCTCTGTAAACTTGATTTCCCCCTCTTTTTACGATCACGGTGTATGTTATGGTAACATTTTTCTATTAAAACTGTTCTAGAGACTTTAAGGAAGTATCTAGTTCCATGCACTTTCTCCTTTATTTTCAGTGGACTTGCATCTCTCCTTTTCTTCAATTCAGTCTAAAGTTTTTGTTCATTCTTGTGTAAAAACATTTCTTAAATATTTATCGTAAAATAACGAAACGAGGTCAACCAAACCTGTAAGTGGATATTTAATTTCAAGACATTATTCATACATGTTTGACATAACAAAGTGCTGCCATAGCGTACGTCTTTGTTTCCATAAAGCATCTGATCTCAAATACCAGATTTAAGAGCATGCAAAATGAACAGTATGAATATGTAGTGAAATAGCAGTAAAACTGTCTTAAGGGGGGGGCCATTTCTTTTTGCTAAAGTGCTGTGACAACATAACAAAGGCTACAAACACTGCTGTACAGATATGTTGTCTTACTCAAAAGTCATACATCAATGATGTGGGCCCCCACTTGTTCAAGGCCTGGATGTTTTTTGTTTTTCTTTTTAAATGAACAAGTTTGGAGAATTCTGTCTACAAAAATAATATTAAATATTATAAACAAAGTCCACCATATGTTCTACTCGTATTGGAATGAGAAAAGCTGACATGTACATTCCTCCCTGCCCCTCTGCTCATCATGACCTGGCAGGCACTCCTGACTCATAACACGAAGAAGGCAGTAGTTTCGGCACATGGAAATCATGAGCTCTGCTGAATGTAGAAGCGCTGAAGAAAGAAGAAGTTCCTGGCTCTATTTTTTTTTTTACGATTAAGTGTTAACGGTTTGTTTTGCCCCTGTTGAGTCAGATATTTCCTTTTCTTGGTCCAGTCTCCAGGCCCGTCCTCCTCCACTCCAGGGCCTTTGACCACAGTAAAGTGCCTTCAACCCCACCCTTGTCTCTTCATTCCAGCTTTGCCGGGGATTTAAGTTAAAGAAATGGGTGTAGGGATTGTTATCGCGCCGTATGGTTGCTCTTCCTTTGGTGGGAAACGGACTAAAGTGTGGCTGGAATGAAAATAGGATACGTTGATTATGGAAAATGATCAGGTTTTGTAAATGGTGACGTGGAACTAGCATTTTTCTCTTTCACAGGAATACCTGAACAGATCAGGAGTGTTCCTCAGCGCTGCCGCTGAAGGAGCGGCTCCGGATGTGGTTCCGTAGCTGCTCAATAAGCTCCGGGTTCTGCTGTTGGATCTGCTGGGCAAACTGTTGTCCCCTGAAGAGAAAAATAACCCTTCTGTAACCCACTGCATTTCTTCTCAAACAAGATTTTTCTTCGGTTTCGAATGTCCAGAAAACTACAACAACAATAACCTGCTCATGCTGATTTTCTAAAGATAGACTACCACAATTATGGGCAGATAGAAAATAAGTCAAAGCCTGCTGGAGCTTGTTAATCATTGTGCATTTCCTCTTTAAACAAGACTGAAAGTGAAGGGGCTAAATGTACTTTATGTTTGAGTAAAATCATATTGACTGAAGAACACATTTCAGTTACATCTTTGTTAGAACTGTTCTGTTTTCAGAACAATTATGCTTACAGTTATTAACTCTGTGATTTAAGTTTAGTTTAGAAATACTTACGCCTCAATCAAGCTGGAAATGTCTGATAGTCCTCCCACTCCTGCTGCAGGGCCTCTGACTGCATTAGACATCATTCCTGACATACTGAACGCAAAGCAACCGTGAGTTGGTGCGAAATTAAACTAACTCCAAATTCACGTTTTCTGATCTGATTGTCATCGAGCACAGACTCTACTCACAGCTGCTGAACTTGCTGGTTCTGCATAACACTTGCAGCCTGTAAAAAAAAAAAGAGACCAACCTGAAACCCATTGTGTCCCACACAAGTCTAAAAACAAACTATTTACTGTCGATGCCGCTGGCAGTTTTATGAGGAAAAGCAGTCCATAAGTCACTGCGGTGGGCCCTGAGGGCAGGTACACGGCTTTCAGATTTAGATGTCACCGCAGCAGTAAAATCCAGCATGCCTGCAGAAGCATTCTCGACCTGTCAGGCGTTCCATGTGTCATCGTTTAACAAGCCCGGATTCTCCTGACCCAGACAAGGACATTTGCACAGGATAATAACTGTTGGTTAACAGGCTTCCGTGGTACCAATGACAAGCCTCCTGGATGACTGCTCTCTCTCTATGGAGCAGGTATTAGCACACTCACCATGCTGATGAAGGCAGGGTTGTTGATTAAACTCGCCATGTCGAATCCCAATCCAGCAGCTATCTGTTGGGTACATTGGCATGTCGACATTGGGTGTGAGATCCAAGTGCATATGCAGGATGTTATGGCATATAGACAAACATGACCTGTTTAACTTACGGGACTAGATGCCTCTTTCTGCTTCTGCTCCGCAATCTTCAGGTTGGATTTGTAGGTGTCGTTCTCTGGATCCAACACCAAAGCTTTCTTGAAGTAGGAAATTGCCTCGGGGTATTTGCTCATAGATGTCAAAGCCAAACTGAAGCCGCAAAGAAAGTCGAGTCAGGCGGCCAGAAAATACGGAGCAAGCTTTTTAAAAATGTTTAATATTGAGGAAATAACGCTCGGCTCACCCCATCCTCCCATATGCTTTGCTGTAGGTTGGGTCAATTCCAATGGCTCTTTCACAGTCCCCTGTAGCTTCAGTGTAGTTCCCCATTTTACTGTGAGCTGCGGCCCTGAGGAGGGTCAGATCAAATGGCTTACTCTTATCCCCAAACTGCAGACATATCAACAGTTACAACCTTAATGAGAAGCACAAACCTCTCTGTGGCCTTTACCTGTTGCAGTAGTACACAGCGTTTCTGAGGTCCAGGTCAATGGCCTTTGTGTAACACTCTACAGCACATCTGTAGTTCTCCTCCTTCATGTGATTGTTTCCTGGAAATTTCAATTTGGATTGTTCACAGAAAGTATACGCAAACATCAGACGCTCTTATTTTTTACTTTCAGCCAGAGAAAATAAGCCCATGTGTTTTAGTTCTAAATGTATAATGAATAAAGATCTATTTAAAAAATGTATCTCAAAGTCAGGGGACATATTACAGCTTGTCCTGCTTTTCCTGAACTTGGAGGTTCTCGTCTTTTTGTGGTTTAATCGTTTGCTCGCTGTATCCCAGATTTCAGGCCTGTGTTCAGATGTGGTCGTTACTCCTTGTATGTTATCCGTTCATGGCTGCAGACACTTCCTCATTAGTTTCCCTCTGTATCCATCCTTACTTTGTTCTTTGTCCGTCTAAATAACATTGTTCAAGAAGTCTTGTGATTTGGTTAGATTAAACAAACTTGACAAACTAAAGCTGTGCTGTCATGTTCTTTTCAGACAAAGGAGGCTTGTAAAATGATGGACTATGAGTAGCTTGTATATGGCCTTAAAAGGTGTCTGACCGTATACGAGTTAATATTATGTTGGTCAACCATACCTTCATTCTTGAGTTGTTCAGCCCGTTCAATGTCTTCAGGAGATGGGGAAGTCTCTGGTACGGTGAGACTGTCATTCTGTTCAAAATAAAGAAATTATGCATTCCATTTAAAAAAAAAAAAAAATGGCTAGAAATAAATGGCGCGGTTTAACCTTGAACCAGGGAAAATACCGGCTTACTCAAAACCATCAAGCATTACACAACTCAGTTTAACTGATCAAATACTGTTCAGTGAAAGGAGCATGCACTGTTAGACATTCACAGTAATCAAATCCTCTGTACTTCCCAAATCAAAACATTTGCTATGACAGTTATATAATTAGCACTCAATAAGCACGGTGCATCCATGGCTTTGTTTTCCATGCTGCTACTCTGCATTTTACCGTACCCACCTTTAGTAGAGTGTTGAGGAATATCTCTCTGAGTGGCTGAGACACTGCAAGATGACAGTCACTAGAGCCGATCTTGAAAGTAGTCTCTAAGCACTGTATTGCAACTGAGGAGAATCAGTAAAATTTGAGTGAATAATTCAGTGTAACACTGCAGTGAAGCCAGTGCACATGGAGAAAAAGACTCAGTTACTGCTCAGTTATTTGTTTTGTTCTTAATATATTACAATATAATATATACATGCTGTCATCCCTTTCTTACTTTTGTGACAGTAAAGATTGTTCTCTTTCTCTAAATACTGAAATTAAAAATGTCTCAAAAGAAAGATCATTTAAAACATTTTGAGTGGAACTGAGCAGACTCCCATATATCAATGATGGTATTTTCCAAAGTGCAAGTGAGACTTACCCTCAAGGCTCTCCTGCTCATCAGAATTCAAAGCACCGCAATGTGTTTGATCTCGAAGGAACTGCACAATAGCGAAGGCCAGACGCTTCTCCACTGCCATGTTTACCTCGAAACTGCTGGCACAAACACAAAGAAAACCCACGCAACAATAGCCACATCATTAATTCATGATGTGGTTGTTCATAATAAAAGTGATAAATGCATTTTATTTAAACCGGTAGTTGGATGGAAACATCTATATGATAAAACAAGTCAACAATGCACACAAGCACAAACTCAAATAAGACTTCTAAAGCAACGTTTCAGTCCATTCCCCTTATTTGTTTTACACATGCCTGATATTTCTGCTTTGATGTCTATTCTTTGCATTTTGCAATAATGATAAAGAAACAATATCTTACATGAGCGGCTAACTTTTGCTAACAAAATATGTCATGTGGAATTGATGGCTCAGGTGAAAACAACAAAGAAAGTCAATACCATCACACAAATACGCACACAAACACAATTATGGCATTTTGTTCAGGCCAGTGAAAAATCTTTATTTTCAATCAGCTGCCATATCAAATCATGCTGCATCACATCACATCTTGCCTGCTTTTAAAATGCTCTCTTTTAGCTTTTGTCTCATTTAAAGGTGCTGTTTCTAAGAAAAAACATGATCAAAAACTTCCAAACCATTAAAAATTCCACTCCCTATCAACTGAATATGGAACAATCAGTATCTCAGTTTATGGAAAACCACCATGTGCTACGCAGATGAGAAACTTTAGCGGTGGCCTGGACTTTTCTGCATCTTTAAAAGGCCTCAACAAGATGAGACACAAGTCATTGTGGTGCTTTATTTTGCTTTGCAGTCAACAGATGAAGAGGAGGGGGCAGTTCCCAATGCTGCCAGAAACAAAATGAACGAACAGCATGCTAACCAAGCAAAGAGATAAGCAAGAATCAGTGAAAAAAGCTCCATTATTCCAGCAGTGGTGGAAGCTCTTGGCAAGCTAACACAACTCTTGCTATCACGCCCCTCCCGCCTCTAAGGCCCCACCTCAACAGGCCAAGTCTGTCCAGACGTCTAAGCGTACATTACTCCAATGTGCAGCAGAGTGATGTCATGCCATGCAGAAAGAAATGCCTGGACAACAGATTTGTGGGCCTTGTGAGTAACATGTCCGAAACAAAATCCGTATCTGTGCCATTTACTCTTCTCCCTGATAACAACTGCAAGTCATAAAGCCATTCTTATGAGCTTCAGTGGGTCTGTCAGCAGCAGTTTAACTGCAGGAGTCTGACTGCACCACAATAGTCAGGACATCAAACCACTCTGTAAAGCCAGAGATGTCCTCCTCTACATGTGTAGTGACCGTTTGGAGAGTTTGAGTGTATCCGAGTCAGAAACGACAGGTGTAATTCAAGTTAATTCAAGGAGTGTTCTCACACTTTTGTGCTGGGGCCCTATGCCTCTTTGCTCAAAATGAAACGTTACTGAGCATTTTCCTGAGTCAGGTTTAAAACTCTAGCATTATGACAACTATAGTCACTAACAATGTATTGCATTTGTGCCCAAATCTTAAGGTGTTTAGAAGATATTTTGAGGTTCCCAGAGCTCAATGGCTTCAGTAAAGTGGATAGCACAAGTAAAGCTCACTAAGGCTCACATTAAATAGTGGCCAACAAAAGACCCAAGTTTTCCACACACCAACAGGCCATTTGAGGTGTAATAAACCACATGTTGCTTTGGAGCCAAACAACCAAATACAACGTAATTTAAGATTAACTCTGCAATCAAATATATATTGTGCAGGTATAACAGGTGCACAGTATCTAAAATATAAGCCATGAAGCAAATGGGTTCATCTCATCATGTCCTGCCGTTATCTGTCATCTCTCACATCTAGAAAGGATGCTGGTGGTGCTTTCCATTCTCGTCTCCAAGACAACTCAGAGGAGGACGAAAGCGAAATCTTTTCTGGCTCTACGGACAGGCTGGCTCTGGCTACAGGGAGTCTCTCCACTGTCTGACGCTTCATTTCTGCAGCAGGCTCAAAAAGGAGAGCCACAAAATGGACTATTGTCCGACTCTGGGCTTATGCTCGTCCACAAACACGAATGCAACCTCATATTTCCATCACGTGCTGATGCCATGCGCTGTGATGCTCATTTGGGTCCTCTGGCACAGCCACTCCTCCCAGTGTGTTGACACACGTAGATGCGGTGATGCAGAAGCTGTGATGTAATACCACTTCAACAGAACAGAGGTGTCCTAATTCCCAATCCAATTGGCCATATTTAAAAAAAACACACAGACATGATGGCTAATTTAGCGGAAAGGAGGTAGAAAAACGCCTAATCTGACAGAGAGGCTCGCGCACAGTGCAGCTGGCTGCATCCCGGGCTTAAAAAAAAAGACAATAACAACAACAACAACAACACAACCCTCCAGAAAACAGTGCCGGGAGCACAAACGAAGCTCGACCCCACAGCAAACATGAATGTTAGTCCAAATAATTAGTGAGAGGACTCCAAATCGGTGTCCCCCACGCGCCCACCTACCTGAGCTGCCCAGCTGTCTGCTGCTAACTCGTCATGAGGGGCTCGTGTCAGACTCAACGCATCCTCCGCCGCGCATGCGCATTAAAAGCGGAAATAAGAGGCTCCCCACAAGCTAAACGGGGGTGAAGGCGAAGGGAGGGGGGGAGTTGGTGGAGACATTGGTGCTGCTGTACCTGCCGCTGCCGGTGTTGTGCGAAAAAGTGAATGTTTGCGAGAATCTGATTAAGCTCGCGGGAGCGCGCACCGCAGCCGCTGAGCGATACCGTAAACCTGCTTTTCTCTGGATTAAACGGTCATGACATGCAGATACACACAGTTGCATTATAATATAGGCCTAATTAAATTATAATATAGGCCTAATTAAAGATTCGAAAGCTTAACGTTTGTCACATAACGGCAGTTACGTGACAGACATGTTTCTATACTCGGTCTGATGACTTTGTGTAGCCCTGACATTGGAGACTACACTACAATAAATATGATTCACTGGAAGGTTTCCAATAAAGATATGATAACTTTTGCAACGATCCTCGTGACTCTGCATTGTTTTTTATCTGATCTGGCCGTATATAGCACGAGTTTCCCATGTTTCTAT